TTTTTCAAAAAAAAAAAAAAAATTCCCCCCCCCCCCCAGTTAAGATTTCCCAAGGTTTTGCCTGATTTTCAAAATTATTCCCCAGATCCCAAGGGGGGTCGTGAATTCCCAAGACCTTGGGAAATTTCCCAAGGTGTGGTAGCCCTGCCCAGTGGTCTCCCTTTCCCCAGTGGTCTCCCATTCCTTTGTGGGATCCCTTCTGGGTATGATCCTGTTTCCGTGATTAAGAACAGTGGCGTAGCGAGGGGGTGCGGGGGGGGGTGCGGACCGCAACCGGGTGACACCATTTTAGGGGTGACACCTGATTGAAAAATTGCATATTTACATAGCACACAGTTCTCGGTCTAACCGAGATTCATAAAAGGATAACCGATCACACATACATTTTCACAAATGACAAATGTAACCAATCCAAATGCGTGCTTTATTAAAAGTTCAAGGTTGATGGATCAGAGATGTGATGACCCTATGTTTAGGCCAGAAAAACCACAGTCCATGCCGTTTAAAGTGTTCGGTAACTTCCTAAAGTGGCAGTAGGCCATATTTATCTAAATTTTGAAAAATATGGCTTTCCATTGATACCAAATAAGTGTGGTCGGGCGGTTATAATAAGTATAAAAATTAAAAACATTAAAAATGAATATTAACCATTGATAGGGTTACAAAATATATTATTTTACACAATTTTCAATCTTTTAATGATTAATTCTTTTTTATTTAAGTTTAAATAAAGAAAAGTTTTTTGAAGACATATATATATATATATGAAGATATATAATATTATATATCGAAACCCAAAAGGTATCTTACCTTTCACCAGAAAACCAAAATGAATTTATAATTGTCCTTGCAAATCATGTGAAGGAGATTCTTATCATGGATATAAAGCCTGCGAGGTATTTTGGAATTATTTTCGAAAGTACACCTGATATATCACACAGTGACCAGATGTTTGTAGTGATCAGATATGTGATAATCCACAATGGGAAAGTTGAAGTGAGAGAAGTGTTTCTTGCATTTTCCCCCCTTTAGATTGAAAAAAAAGCTGATGACCTCAGTTCTGACATTATTACAAACTAAAGCGTGATGGACTAGACATACTGATGTTCAGAGCTCGGGGTTAAGATAATGCTGCCCTAATGTATGGAATCCATGAAGGTGTTCAAGCCATTCGGAAAATAAATAATAAGAAAGCAATTTTTAATGGATGTGTTGGCCATTCACTTAACTTGTGTGGTCAACACTCTTTTGCAGAACATGCTTCATGTATTACATTATTGGGTACTCTTGAAAGAATATTTTCCTTCTTTGCTGCATCCAATAATCGATGGAATGTTCTAATCGCACACACTGGAATGTCGGTGAAAAGACAGTCAACAACGCGTTGGAGTGCTCATCATGCTGCTGTTAAAACAGTGAAAGATGAGTTTGATGAATGTTGGGAGAAGATTAAAGCTCTGTCATCACCTTGTAAAAATTTGCATACAAGAGGTTAAGCATAAGATCTTTTCCATGCTGTCTGTAATTTCACGTTTATCTGCTACCTTTAACTTTGGGCTGATCTACTTGAGGAAGTTAATCTTACACAGCACTATCTGCAGATTTAAGGGATTACTCTTGACAAAGTTTTGACAAATCTAAGAGGCCTTAAGATTGTTTCTGCACGAGAAGCGTCGTTACTTGGTGGAATATGCTATTGAAAAGGCACTTGAAAATCAGACCAATATGGAATTTTGGTAGAGAGAAGATTAAGGTTTAAGAAGAGAATGGCAGGAGAACTATTAATTAATAGATGCTGGACTCTTTCTGGGAGAAGAAAACAGTAGGGAGATGCTGGAGTGTATAGATCGCTTTCATTCTGAACTCCACATCAGATCATCAGTGATCAAGTACCAGAATGATATGTTTGGGTCTGTTCAACCCAAGAGTCTAGTATCAGCAAGTGAAGAAGAGTTTTTGGTGTCTGTTCCAAAATTAACTTCTTTCAATGATGAGTTATCAGAAGATGAACTTTAAAAAGAAATATCAAGGCTTAGAAGACATCTAAAAGCAGCTGACTTCTCAAAGTCATGGACTGGTCAGTATTTTATGTTTTGAAATTCAAAGCTGAATAGGACTTTCTAGAATCTCTTCCAATACTCTCGCTAAGCCTTTAATTTTTCTTACAATATGTGTGTATGTGGCTTCATGTGAGCGGAGCTTTTCAAAACTAAGGCTTATCAAGAAATATTTATGATCGACCATGTGACAGTCAAGGTTTTCTGATGTGGCTCTGCTATCAATTAAAAGTCATACAGTGAAAAACATTGATTTTGATCAAGTGATTGACAGGTTTGCAGCTTTGAAGACAAGGAAAGGAAAATTTTAAATTGTAAATTTAAAGTAAATACAGCGATAACTTAACGTTTTTAAATATATTAACCCCATGACCTTCGATTTATTTGTTTTTGTTCTTGTTATATTGTGGACTTATTTTAAGAAGAAGAAAACCATCATGGAAATTGGGGGGGGGGGTTGTGACACCATGAGTTTACCGCACCGGGTGACACCAACCCTAGCTACCGGGTGACACCAACCCTAGCTACAGGGTGACACCAACCCTAGCTACGCCACTGATTAAGAAGGGTTTGTTTATCCACTTTGGCCAAGACCCATTAACACAACAAAATGACATCACTATAATCAGTTCTCATTTTAGTTTCAAGAGATGAGGGCCCCTCTCATATGGTGCTGTTTTAATTATGCCTTGAATAGTGGTCCCTATTCAGTCAGATAAATGCTGGGGTGAAACTATAAAAGTTTAATTAAAATCGATTGAAAAAGCCTTTTAAATTACCATATTAATTAAAGTTACTGGGAAGTTCTAGGATTCTAAGCCATCCCCAAATGGAGTGTATATTATCACTATGATTTTTAAATGCACAGACATTTCACTAAGCAGGATAAGGTCTATGAATGTTATAGTTATAGCTTCCAACCTTGGCCTGTAGCCATGGAGATACCTACCGGTATATTGTTGTCTAAGTCTACTTTTATTTACATGAGGAAAAATGAAACAGGGGCCCTGGCCCCAAAGGAGTGGATATTAAGGAGTTCCTTTCCCTTTAGTATTTGAATATAAATTATTAAATGTATATATACTAAGTTTTGTCTAGATCCATCGACCCATGCAATAAACCGTGCTTGATCTTTAATTTATAGTATTTATAAAGCTCATATTAGGATCAAATGGATTGAGGGGCCCCAAGAAAGGATTCTTTCGCAAAGTTGAAAACCACCAAACATACAAGTGGTCTTTTTCAGAACATCATTGAATGCAGTGATCTGGCATTGTATTGAGTGAACTAAGCACCATTTGGTAACGTTAGTGACATGGTTACATAGAGAATCATGGATTTGGATTTTGATTATATGATATCAACACACTCTAATATGACACATCATTTGAAGTTTGTGGAAAGATTGTAACAAAAATTATAAAAATTAAAATTCTAAATTACTGGTACCGGTACCGTGTAGGAAAACTTCTACCAAAAAAAAAAAAAATTTAAAAAACACTAAATAAATAGTTTTTTGCTCATAAACATTTAATAGTAAATGCATTGTATAGACATCATAAATATAAAGCAGTAAGCAGAAAACTCTCCACTACTCCATAGAAATAGAACCTTCTGGTATGCTAATTTTCTGTCATAAA